CTCAATCAAAAGACGTAGTGACCAAATGAACATACACTGAACGAATACATTTGATCTATGATACAATGTAAATACAAAGTTAATAAACATAAGGGATGAATAATAAAGTAAAAGTATTATACCGCTGTGAAATGTAAAACAATTTCAGAAAAAACATCAGCTTTGAAAAAAATTACGCCATTTGTAATATCAAAATTAAACACAGGTAAATGAAAATAATTTTGTAGATAAGTATACTTCTTCTTCTGTCTGTATAACCTTACTTTTAGGAACACCAAGAAATTTCTTATATAACAATTAAACTATTCTAAAACTTGGTAAATGTGGGGTGAATATCAACAATTAAACTATAAAATTGGTGCTCGATAAAACTTCGTGTTCTTCATGTACAGGTGCCGGAAGTGTGATGTATATACAGTTAAAAGGAGAAAGGAAATAATTTTGATGTTCATAGTACGAAGAAGTGAAAATTTATAGTAATTCCAAACACTTATCAAAGCTGGTATATAGGCCAGATATAATAGATATAGGAAGATGTGGTATGAGTGCCAATGAGGCAACTCTCCATCCAAGTTACAATTTATAAAAGTAAACCATTATAGGTCAAGGTACGGCCTTCAACACGGAGCATTGGCTCACACATAAGTTAACATTAAATTACAAAAAAAGCATTACAAATAGTATCAACAGGTTAAATTAACAAGTACGTACGATTTGAGAGTACTCGCAGTTACTGACAGCTAGTTAAAAGCCAAAACAATTAATAATAAAAAATCATGCACCAGAGACTAAAATCAACTAAAACACATCCCAGGGATTTAGTATTTTAACGTCATGGACAGTCAAAGAAGACATGACTAGTGCAATGCCAAAAATAAATGTATCGACAGGCAGTAGGATAGTTAGGAGTTAACCTCTTTATAGATAAAAATGAACCTGTGTATTCCTGATTATGAATTATTCTACAACATGCATTTATCCTAAAGCAACAACTATTATACAACTCACCTATACCAATGGGGATCGTCTAGTTCCTAGCGGATTCCTTTAATCACACCTTTCCTGACGACACCCATCGTTGTCGCGTCTACCATTCGAGACAGCGAAATGACATTATTTGACCGGAGAGCGAAATAAACAAGGGAAGCAATTTTAGCGGAACGCATTCCGGACTGATAAGACATGTCCTAAGATATATCTTATGACAGGTCTTAGGATAGCTTCGTGAAACCGGCCCCAGTATAACAGTTCATGCATTATATATGTAGTGTTCATATTTTAATTATGCGCTTCTCTTTTGTAGATTTTATGTTATTTGAATGAACTGATGCCATTTGTGGTGAAAACTATTGAGGACATTTGTCTTTTGTTTTATGTGTTTAATAAATTTCGAAGATGGTCACCGCACCTGACAGTCTCTATAATGGTGTTTGTCTTTATTAATACAGAAATAATTTCATTGCATACGTGTAATTTTTGGTGGTTGGTATTAGGGTGTCGTCAGAAAATAAGGAGCCAAGAGTACATAAATGATTTATTTTCGGTTCAACAGAGTGAATTGAGAAAATATTGAAAATTATATGTCCAGTTTTGATACAAAAAAATGTAGATGGCTATATTTTTTATATCAAGGTTCAATGTTATATCCCTAAATACCATATATACCTATATTCTACGAGTTTTTGTCAGAACTATACTGTACTATTTTTATACTCCCATTCATATAATTTTGTATCATTTCGCATGAATGAAAACAATGGAAATTACTTTGATGTTCAGTTTTCATGATGATTGTTTTGTAAAGAGCAGTTTGATAATTTTTTAATTTTTGACTTTTTGGGATCAAAGCATCATTGTCACCACTTAAATTGTCTCTGTTGAACCCTTGGATTGATTGCAAGGCTATGCTTAAAATATCTATGGGTTTTCTCAATTTTTTTTAAACAAAAGCGAAAAATTATGAATACTCGTATACAGGTGGTGCGTTTTTTTTTATGTTGAGTATATGATAATATTTACCAATTCAACCATCCAGTATGATCAAGGACTTTTAATAAATCACTAGACTGAAAACGATAACAACAAATGTAAACAAAGTGTAATTGTTTTCCAAATTTATTGTAATGTTGTTTTTGAAATGGCCATGGAAGTGTCGATTTATCTGTAATTTAATTTTCCAAAATTTATCAAAATCCTTCGAAAGATGTGGTTAACATTTTTAAGTAATGTTTTATTTTTAATGCTTTTCATTATTTGTAAGATATTTGGCTATCATAATATTTGATTTGATTCTAACTGTTGTTTGTAGATATATGTACCATCTACAGTCAAGAACCAGTTGTTCAGTTGTTGTCGTTTTTTTTAAGTGTTTCTCGTTTCTCCTTTTTTTATATAGATTAGACCGTTGGTTTTCCTGTTTGAATGGTTTTACACAAGTCATTTTATTTTGGGCCCCCTTGTAGCTTTCTGTTCGGTTTGAGCCAAGGCTCCATGTTGAAGATCGTACTTTGACCTATAATGTTTTTTTTTAAATTGTGACTTGGATGGAGATATGTCTCATTGGCACTCATACCACATCTTCTTGTATCTTTTTATGAAATCCTATCTTGTATCTTCGATATTTTTATGATCTTGACGAGGAATAATAGAAATGACAATACTGTTTCCATTTTTAGATTAAACTTGCACTATAAACCCATTTATACATATAAATCATATTCGTGTCTTGAAAATCTAGAGATTAAAATTGAGTCGGTTGAGAAATCATATGTAAGACACTAGTGATCACTTTCATTTTCGTATACAGAATTTTCCATTTTATTCATCGGCATTCAATCATCACTGGTGTGTAGAGTATACAACGTACGTCTTCAAATTGACGATAGTCCATAGCTCCTGTTTCCGATAATGTAATTTTTTTTGAAGATAACATCGTACAAGGATGCAGTTAAAACAAGGTTTCTTGTTGCAAAAGTTGAAAAACACCATTTTTAAAAGATTTAATGACAGATTAATGATTTGGCTAACCATAATGGATTTTTGGTTGCATATGACTACATTAAGATATTTTCCAATACGTTGTAGAAACAACCCTATCCTTTAGTCTTATGTTGAAGATCACAGAATGCGGCATCATATTGGTGTTTTTTTGGTATAAATAATATGTTTTTTAGATGAGAAGGAAGCGCCTTACCTTACAATCCATAATGGTTTATAATGTGACGGTGGTGCATTTGTAAGACATAATAGTGTCCTGTGGAAAGGTGTCCACCTGGACAGTTTTTCATAGAATTTTGGTATTTGATAATGTCCATTGCCATGAAATATTGTCCCTCAAGTGGACAGACTTTTACTGCAAAAGCTATGAAATAGTGTCCACCCATTGGACAAGTTTTCATAGTAGTTGCTATTAAATTGTGTCCTCCAAGGGAAGTAATACAAAGGTCATTAAAAAGTTTTATTATACTTGAATTTTGATAAAATCTGAACGATTGATTAGAAATTGATTAATATACAAAATATGAAATATGAAACATTTTACAGCAACAGTTATGAAATATGGTCCACCTACAGGACAATTTTTGGTAGTAATTGTTATTCAATTGTGACCTCCAAGAAAAATAATACTGAACAACATCTGTTACTTTTTTGAATTTGAATTAATATGAATATATATATATATATATATTAAAAAATATAAATAAGAAGATAAGGATGGTATGAGTGCCAATGAGACAACTCTCTGTCAAAGTAACAATATATTAAAGTTTGCAATTATAGGTTAAAATACGTCCAGTGATAACGCAGCAATGGATATCATTAAATACTTTAATCATATCAAAAAAAGTCCTGGCGGACATAATTTCTGTGAAAAAATGTCCACCTGGACAGAATTATAGTATTAAATAATGTCCATGTTCATTTTCATACCTGAAGACATATGTTCATAGGAAATTGTGTCCGGGACACATTAAAATAAGTAAATATTGTCCATGGACAGTATTTACTATGAAATAATGTCCGGTGGACATTATTTCATGTGGGACATTATTAAATCCTACACATTTGCTTCAGCTTTCTGTATTTTATTTTAGTCTAATTATTTTCTTCATTGTCTGTCTTGTGCCTATTCTAGTTAGTGTCTTGTTCATCTTTTTGTTATGAGAAATTATTACTAGTATTCCTTTCAAAATCTCACATTCGGTTATGTTTTCATTTAATAATGATTTATGGATTTGGTAATTCACTAAGACCATCTGTGTACGATTTACCAATAATCATTAGCCTGATCAACCATGATATTTACAAAATTTTGACTTAAGCAGCTAGACGAGAATCAATAGTGAACCTTTTGTTCGTGAGGATTCATCCTGTTTTCTGGAATTGTTTTTAGTTTACTTTTAATTTTCTTTGATCTTCTGTCTGTTGGATGTGGTACTAGTATTGTTAATTTTCAACAGACGACAGCAACCACAAACAATCGATTCAACCGCAAAATAGATGTAAAAATGCCCTGCCATGTCCGATCTGTGTTTTCGTTAGATGTTTGTTCTGTTTTGTATCGATCTGCTGAGTTAAGATATTTTCAACTGATTTTTTATAGTTTGATTTTATGTTGTGCCGTAAAACCACTGTCCCACTCTAGAGGAGGATTGAGCACCTACAAACATGTTTTCCCTCTTAACACTCTTCATGTTCCTGTTTCAAGTCAGGCGCCTGTGGTTCAGTGTTTGTCGTTGGTTCATGTCTGTATTATTTGTATTTCTTAAATTCTTTAGTTATCAATTAGAACGTTAGCTTTCTAATTTTGAAATGTTGTCACATATTTTTTTTATCATTGTTGAAGGCCTTACGGTTGCCTATTATTGCTTATAGCATCTTCATTTGAACTTGGGTGGATGATTATCTTATTGGCAATCATACCATGTCTTTTTATGTATATATATTTCTTTTTTTAGGTTTTGTAACAAAGAAAATCGATTTACAACACATTACCCAGACAGTCTGACTTTAATTACATCTTAATATAGTAGGTCACTGTGACATATTGATCATGGTTGCGTTTTTGGAATGCTCGATGATGAAAATCAAATACATTAATTTACTTATCAAATAATACATTAAAAGGATGACACATTTTGTCAAAAAATATATTAGACAGCAGAACAGATCACAGCCACAACCAAAACCTGATTCTATCTAAAAACAGACTTGCATTTCCTTTTTTATGTATCACTATAAAGAAAATCAGTCTACAACACGTGGTCTAAATAGCTGTACAATCACTAAACGAAGTTGGAGCTAAAGTCCAACACCAAGAATGAAGTAATAGGAACTAATATGAACTCAGATATGTTCTACTGCTTGTACACACGAGCATGTTGTAGGTCTAAATTGGTAGAGAAGACGGTTTATGCTAAGGTCAAAGTGGTCTTATTTTACTAAAGTCGTATTTTAAGGGGTTCCATAAACCATGTTCTTGACATCTTTTTTTATTACATTAACTAATAAATTTGGGAAAAATAACCCTGCGATAACAATAGCATAATTATGCTTATAACATTTATCAATATCACAGTCATTTGAACCCTCATACTAAAAATATAAATATAAATACTGGTATAAGTTATGTACAATGTTACATGATCGTATGCTATATTCTATTCGTATACAATAAAATATATTGTAAATCCAGAATGCATTCATGATATGCAGCAAACTTCCAATTATATATCTAAATACAAACAATCAGGATTCTACTTCGTCAAAATTATCTCCTACCTACGCCCGCTAATTATTTTCAATTCTAAAAATGTAGGGATGACGTGCTACCAAGTTTACAAATATCTTGAAGCTCAATACTATAATTTAAGTAAAATTACGTATATAAGATGCATAAAATATAAATTAGGCCCATTTATTACATTATTTAAGACTACTGAAAGAAGGGTCTTTTTTTATAGGCGCATTTATAAACTGTGCGATACTATACACCAATCATCTAGGTGACGTCTTGCGAGACAATAAAGAAATAAAAGTGTCTGAAGAGCAAAAAAATATTATAATAATCAGAACAAAATCAATAGGTCTTTCTAAAGAGAGGTGAAATGACATAAAAAAAAACCCAGAATTTTCAGAAGTTATAAAATTATTAACGACACTACTACCTCGGCTTGTGTGACAAGTGAGCTGCCCAAGAAGGTCACCAGTTGAACGACTTTTTCGTATTCTTGAACCTGACTGTATGCAGAGGTCATTTAAATGATAGCTCGAGGTGATGCTATATTATCCATGCTATTTCTTCTTAAAACATGAGGGTTAGATAAATTTTTATCGGGAAGTGGCGAATAAAATTTCTTTATCACTAAAAATATAATATGATTTTGTGGCTGTGCGTGTATTCAACCCTTCAGCAAGAATTCTATTTCCCTTTGTGGAGTATTTATCATTATCTTTCCTCCTATACATTTCTAGGGATATCGTTCGTTTAAAGCAACCGCGTGAAGACCATGTATATTTTATATACGGTTAATAGGCGGGGCTTATTTCAATACACGGTTAGTAGAGGTGTTTCGTCTCTTTATGAAAACAACACGGTGTTGAGGAAAAATCTGAAAGGTTTCAACAGACGAAGAAATTGATGATGAACGATTGAAATAAATTAATAAAAAACATTTAAAGCTAACAAGTTGTTATTTTTTAGATTTGTTTTTGTATAGACAAATGGAAGTATATTTTTAATACTATGTATTGAAGACTTCATCACTTTGATAGGCCACTGTTCTAAAGCCCACATGTTAAGATAGTAGGTAAGATAAATTCGTTACAAAGTTTACCATATATCGGTTTAGGTCACTAGCACATCATGTAACTAATTATATCTTGTTCAATATATCCTTATCCTTTTTGGAGTATGACGAAATAAATAGTGGGTGATATATAAAAGATAAATGTATATCCTTAAGTAAATTAAAAATAAAATCTGTTATTTTCCACCATATATAGTCGATTATAAGAAAAATATCTTTCTTAAACCAAAATTAACAACCAAAATTATTCATGTATGGGGCTATCGATTCACCTTATTTAAAACTAGTTTACATATGTTCATTCTAGCAGATTGTGTTCTTGAAATTAGCTATAGGTTTAACGTCTCATTCTTATATATTGTGACATGCATTACTATTAACATTTTCTTTTTCAAACCCAAAACCTGTAAGAAGAATATTGTCATACCTATATCAGTATAAGAGTACTGAAACAAACTTGTACATAAAAATCAATATTGTGTACATCATATAATGTCCTTACTTATAATTACCATTCCAAAAATAGTTATATCCAGATCTACAATTTGTTTTGTCATATGGGAAACCAGTGATAAGCTAGCTGATAATTCTGCTTATTTAACTTTGAATTTTTTGATAAAGGTAGTTTTTGAATAAGCAACACCCAGACAATTACCTTCTTTTTCTTGGAAGACATGAAATATATTCATTGAAAAACACATGAATATAATTTACATTGATTTACTCTACCCCCTCTCCATTTCCCCAAATGCAAAATATAACATTTTGAACAAAAAATCACGTTTAATGTCAATAATGTTTATCTTTTTTGGAATTACGCCTCCTCCTTTTTCTAGAAACCTGATTCCACTCCTGCACATTTTTCTCTTCAATCGGTAACAGCTTTTTAGGTAACAACATTTCAGTCAATTTCATATCCCCGATCTTCATAGATAAAGACAATGGTGTTCTGTCTCTCTTATCAGCCTTGTTGATATCGGCCCCATTTTCAATAAGCAGCTGCATGATTTTATAGTGATTTTCGGAAGGATGTTTAAATTCTAACTCACAATGAACACCATTTGTTAATAGTTGATATGGATAATCTTCATGAAGATAATCGAAATAATCGTTTAAATGAAAGTTTTGCATGTGACGATATAAATAGTATTTCTCATGATTATCCTCAATATTTTGTAATACGTATTCCCTATGATTATCCTCAATATTTTGTAATACGTACTCCCCATGATTATCCTCAATATTTTGCAAAACACACGCTATGAGAGGTGTAGAGCCGTACATATCATATGCATTTATATCAACTCCTTTATCTATAAGTATTTTAACAATTTTGTCGTTTCCGTCACTACACGCTTTATGTAGTAAAGTCCGGCCAAAATTACCAACTGAATCAACAGAAGCACCTCTATTTATTAAAAGTTGTACTATATCATGATTGCCACACACATATGCAGCATGAAGGCATGCTATTTCGTCTGAAATATCTGTTTTTTGAACTTGTGTATCAACAACAGATCCTTGATCTATCAGGAATTTTACTATGGTAGAGTATCCACCTTTACACGCACCATATAAAGCTGTCTGACCATACCGGGTAATTGAATTAACATTCGCTCCTTTTTGTAAAAGAAATTGAACAGTGTCCAAATAACCTTCTCTGCATGCGTCGTATAACGCTTTGTTTAAATTGGCTCCTCTCTCTATAAGCAAATCAACTATTTCATAATATTTTCTTTGACAAGCTGCAAACAATGGAGTATAACCGTATCGAATAGTCGTGGATAAGGAGACATCACTCTTAGTTCTCCATTCTTCGAAAGTCAGGTTTATATTTGCGCCAAGTCTTAAAAGGAATTCGACTACTTCCGTGTGTCCCCTCCTAATTGCTAAACACAAGGGGGTTTGTTCAAACCAAATAGATACACATTGATCTCTAGGTTGGAAGAAAATATCAATCTGCATTTCTTGGAGCATTCCACGAAAGAGCGGTTTTATGACTCCAAACATACATGCTTGAAACAGGTCTTCATACTGCTGCAATTTCCAACTACTTTCAGTTTCAGTATCATGATCATATCTTTTTCGAATACGATCATTTTTAAACTTGCCATCAACCTCTTTGTCTGAATTATATATTATTCCGATACTTTTGTAATAATCTCTTATAAACGCGGTGCTGCAGATTGCATTTTGTAGATTCTCCGATAGCATATCATTTCCGCCAATGTCTGCTAATATCACAGGAGTGTATCCATATTTATATGTGTCCTTGATATTTGCCCCATATTTACGGAGTATCTCAACATTTTCATATATACCTAACTTATACGCATGATATAACATAGTTTCATTAAAGTGTGATAATTTATCTGTGTAACCGTTGGATATAAGCAATTTTGACATTTCCCTATTTCCATTCTCAAAAACGGATATCAAAAATGTTTTTGTGTCCTCCTCTGATATCGTTATAGGACAACTTTTTTGAACTAAATATTTTGATAAATTATAAAACCCCTTATATATTGACACAAAAAGCGCATATCTTCCATTTTTGTCAGGTATGCCAAGATCTAAACCCTTGTCTATTAGAAACTGGAGTAATTCAACGCTATCTGTATTGCAGGCAACGTGTATCAATGTCCTCCCATTTACATCTATTTCTGTAAAATCTGCACCTTTTTCTGACAGAATTTTGATTGTCTTAATTGAACCATGTTCACATGCCAGTTTTATGAGCGATTTCCCATCATCACTTTTATAACCTATATCTCCCCCTTTATATAAAAGAATTTTAACCGCTCTATCATAATCTTTTTGAACAGCACAAACTAGCGCTTGATTAATATGTGCTCTCTCGTCTAGTAACGTTTGTATTAGGAAACCATGACCATGTTGACAAGCGGCAATCAAGGGCATTTCACCGGAGATCGTTTGCATGTTTACATCTGCCCCATATCTAATAAGCCATTGGAAAGTTTCTATGTCTCCAAGTACACATGCCTCATATAAAGGAGTCCATCCATCCGCTACAGAATTGCTTGTACATGCCGTGATTTGAATCTGACATTTATCGTTTTTGCTTACTGCCATACTTGAACCTTGATTTGGTCCTACTTCATTTTCCCCTAAAGCTTTCAAAATGCTTTCACTAACAATGTTACCCTCTGTTTTCGCCAAATGAACAGGTGTGTGCACGTCTTTATTTGTATTTGTAGTATCTGCACCATTATCCAATAGAGTAAGTATTACGTCTACGGAACCTTTCCTACAGGATTTGTGCAAAGGTGTTTCTAAATCTACATCAAGCATGTTAACGTCTGCATTTTTGTTAATCAACATTCTGACTATATCATTGTTCCCAACGCAACAGGCGGCATGAAGTGGCGTTCTACCATCACCATCGACTTTATAAATGTCAGCATTATTATCAATAAGCAACTTTGTTATCGTAGTATTGCCTATTTCGCAGGCAATGAATAAAGCGGTTTTACTTTTTATATCGACACTATTTAAACAATATCCGTTTGAAATAAGTTTTTCAACTATTTTATCATGGTTGCCATGGATTGCAACGTTGAGTGAATCGTTGCTTTCGTTAACATTTGCTCCTTTATCGATCAAAAGTTGTACTATGCTTTCATGACCACTCAAACAACAAACGTACAAGGGTTTGCGATGATATCTATTTCTTTTGTTGATATCAGCATGTTTATCTATTAGCAGTTTAGCTAAACTGTAATGCCCACCAAAACATGCAGTATAAATTGGTGTTTCGCCATTTTTATTAGTTTGGTTTATGTTCGATCCTTTATGCAGTAGGATTTCGACCATGCGTAAGTGTCCTTCTCGACACGCAGCTGTCAATGGTGTGAACCATCCATTTTGTGCATTAACATCAGCCCCCATAGAAATAAAAAGATCAATAAGTTCTTCATAACCACGCATACACGAAATGATAAAGGCGTTAATCCCATTTTCATCCTTGATATCAATACATCTTCTTTTAACGTCATCATCTAAATCTTTCATAACATCTAACAACTTTTCTCTGTACTCTTTGTATCTCATTTGCACATTGTTCAAACACCAATGTATTTTTCCATTTTTAAGGTCCATTTTGACTCTATCTATGTATTTCTGCTCATCAGTCGAAGAAACGATAATTGTAAACTCAGCATGTGCTTTTTGTATTGAATTAAGTTGTACACGTTCAGATATTAATTTATCATCTGCATATTTGAGAATAGGTGCGATTAATGCTTTACTAAAATAAAAGCATAGAAAGTCAAACATTTTATCGTGTATTACTTTGTATTCTTTGTCTACTTTGATAAAGTAAGTATCCACACAAGCATTCAGTTTGGCTGTAATTAAAGACCGAGGGGTGTCACGACCTAATTTGCAAAATTCAAAAATGTCTTTTAATTTCTTTTTTTCAACTGAATTTAAATCGTTTGAAACATCAAAAATGGCTTCATTAATGGTGCCGTTATATATAACGCAAAATAACAATACACATAATTTTTCTTTGTCGAAAGATTTCAGTTGGTTCCACTCCGTTCGAAATATTTCATATGGACTGTTTAGGAACTCATTGATCTCAAACTTGTCATGCTGAGAATACAGGAAGCACATTATAGGGGAGAATTCAACATTTCCTAAAATATCTGTTATTATTTTATCATCCTGTTTCATGTATTTACTGGCTATTTTTATTTTATCTTGAAATGAATACTTTACAGTTAATTCGTAAATATCGTTTTTGAATAAATCGAATGCATCTTTGAAAGATTCTTCATTAAACACTTCAGTACGACAAGTGGCTAAAATTTTTGTCTTGCCTTTTTCAAGAATACATTTGACAAACTCCACCATTTTGAGCCAGTTTTCAATATCATTGATATTTGCTGTATATTTTCCACATATATCATCCACAAAAAATACCTGACCAACATTTTGCTTGTATCGCCTCTTGATATCTTTAACACTAATGCAAGGCTCTATACTATACGCTTTTTCGTCGAATAATTTGAACGCTATATGCTGTGCAGTCAGGGTCTTTCCCATTCCAGATACTCCTGTTAAAAGTAAGCAATTGTGGGTTTCCAGAATTCTAAAAATATCTGTGACTATGTCTGTTTCAACAAATAGTTTACTTTTCAGCTTCCATAGTTCCATTTCGGGTATATCGGCGTCTGTAAAACACTCCAAATTTAACGGTGTCAAATTATTGTACAAATGTCAACCAGAACAAAAACAATTGATCGTTATATCTATTATCGGATCAAAGCCCTCTAAATGTTTAATTGTATATTTTCAGTATAAAAAGAGTACACAAAGATTCAACTGACATGACACTTTTTTTTAATACCATAATGTTACATAGTCAGATCTAACCGAGCAATATTTATTTCAAGATAAGCCTATATCCCACAAAGAGTTTATTTTTATCACGAGATTTTTTTTTATTCGCTTTAAATAATATCAAAAGAAAAAAATTCTAATTAATAAACTTGTTTATTACATATGCATGTTTGATTAATACTCGTATATATATTTCTTAAAACTAGCGTTAATATTATGTTAACCCTTCAGAAGCACTTCATTTCATCTGTTTTTATCATATTGTTTTAGTGTTTTGATTTTTTTAAAAATTTATTTCAATGGTGATAAGGGAAAGGGTAGAGGGGTCGTTTTTCAATTATTAGTTTTATTGTGTTTTCTCGTAAGATTGTACTTTTTAATTTTGTATTCTCCTGGCTGATTATATGTGTAGTTGTCTGTATTTGTATTTGTTATTTATAATGATTTCAGTTGGCATTCTGCATATTAACTCCCTTTCTCATATATGTTCTTATCTCCTTGAAATGTCACAATTTTTTTTTTACAGAATATCGACTCCGGTTATAGTAAATTTGCAATGCCGATTATTTGCCCCATTTTTGTGTTATGTTTTCTGTTTTGTATTTTTCAGTATCAGACAGTGCTTTAGATCTTTATCATTGTACGTTCATGTCATGTCCCTTTGATACCTGCTTACTTTTTTATGTCAACGGATAAATTAATCTACTGTGGATTCATTTATTTTCGTAGGTATCAATTTTCGTGGATTGCTGAAAACTTGCTTATTCGTTGATATTTGATTTCGTGGTTTTGTCAATCACTGTATACAAAGCCTATATGAAATATGTTATTCGTCGAGCATTTCAATTCGTGGTTCACCTGTACCCACGAAACCCACTAAAATTGGTATCAAACGAATAATAAGGAATCCACAGTAAATTAAATCATCAGATACATTCGTAGTATAAGTTCTCAAATCATGCTGCATATTAAATGGTTGTTGATGTAAATCTATGCAAAACTTAAAACTTTTGTACTAATACACATTGGTTTTACTGTTATTTTCTAGTAATTTCATATTGTTGATATTTGTAAAGATATAAGGTGTAAATGTTAAAAAATAGAATTATGGTAAATATCAAATCAAATATTGCTTAATAATGTTGACTGAAGATAACTTCCAAATTGGTGATACTACAATTAAACATACCATTTAAGGATCCATCTTCAAAAAGTGTTTTCCCTTGTATTGCTAATGTCTGCAAAAATAATAAAAGTCGACCAGCTGGCTTTTATTCAAAATAAACTTGACATTTGTATATCATAACAGCATGATGCAGAATCAATGCCAAAGAGGGTCTATTGCATAAACATGAAAATGAATGTTTCACTCGCCAAATTGCGGTTGTTTCTTTTTTCTTATTATAAACGATTCGCTGATTTTAACTTTACGTCATTTTATAGATGAACTTCTTATCACATATCCTCATTGCCTGAACTTATCCCTACCAAGTGACACTAATGCTTACTAAAGAACAATTTAACACATTATTGTTCGACAAAAATGACCAAAAATGATTCCAAACATTGCTAAAAGTAAAAGGTGAAAGAATATAGCAAGCAAATGCAGGGAATTTCAAGGAATGTACTCTTTTGTCAAATTATGTAACGTTATGTTGTTAGGATCATTTACATTGTGTCATAGATCAAATTTATTCGTTCAGTGTATGTTTGCTTGTTTTTTGTTAATATGTTTTGTGATTGAGTGAAGCCATTTCAATTTATGTTTTATGCTGTGATGTTCAGGGTAGGTTGAGTGTTGGCGCCTGTTAAACAGATTATCCCGCTGTATTTGTTTGCAACTGTCAAGTCAGGAACCTGTTGTTCAGTGGTTGATGTAGTTTATAAGTGTTTTTTGTTTCTCGTTTTATTTTACAAAGATTATACAGTTGGATTACCTGTTTGAATGAATGGATTTTGGAGTCCTTCATAGCTTGCTGTTCGATGTGAGCCAAGGCTCCATGTTGAAGGAAGTACTTTGACCTATTATGGTTTACGTTTTACAAATTTTGACTTGGATGGAGAGTTGTCTCATTGACATTCATACCACATCTTCTTATATCTACACACTATCTAAGTAAATTTTGATTGTAAGGAATCTGGTTTCTAACCGCTGGCCCCTCATAATAAATATTTACACATGTGAAAATGTAAAATTCGAAGTCTTGACATCAATACGGCATGTATTCAGACTGAGGAAAACACCTCATCCCAGCTGCAATTGATCCAAAAACTGTTACATGCCAGAATCAGACATACGTCCACACATGCAATGTACAAGCAACTATTGTGCACACATTATGTTCACCTAATAAAATAGAAAAACTCTTCAACAAGGTTGCAGCATGACCAGTCGTTAAGATTATCAAACTAGAGTCTCTCAAGAGACTGTGTCGCTCACCTGACTCACTTGGGTTTTTGAAATCATATAAAAAAAGATAAAAATCATAACATACTTAAATAAAGATTGAGGCTACATTTTGTTTGATAATTAAACTCTATTCTGTGGTTCTCTAAAAGAAGACATTTGTATGTATTTCTCATAGGGTCCTATGTTAAACTAAGACACCGCTGGGGCCATCTTGGATGATAGCTCGGCTACAAAGTAACAACACTTGTTCAGCACCTCATAAGAAACACTCATGCTATGCTTGGTTTCATTCCATTCAGTGGTTCTCTATAAGAAGACTTGTGTATGCATTAATTTTCCATAGGGTCCTGTGTTAAACTAAGCCCCCCGCTGGTGGCCATCAAGGATGATGGATCGGCTACAAAGTAACAACACTTGGTCAGCACCTCATAAGGAACATTCATGCTATGTTTGGTTCCATTCCATTCTTTGGTTCTATAAAAGGAGAAATTTGTATGTATTTCTCATAGGGTCCAATGTTAAACTAAGTCCCCCCTGGCGGCCACTTTGGATGATGGATCTGCTACAAAGTAACAACACTTGGTCAGCACCTCATAAGGAACATTCATGCTTTGTTTGGTTTCATTCTCTTCAGTGGTTCTCTATAAGAAGACATTTGTTTGCATTTCCCTTAGGGCCTATGCTAAACTTAGCCCCTCGCTGGCGGCCATCTTGGATGATGGATCGGCTACAAAGTAACAACACCTGGTCAACATCTCATAAGAAACATTTATGCTATGTTTGGTTTCATTCCATTCAGTGGTTCTCTCAAATAAGACATGTGTATGTATTTCCCATAGGGTCCAATGTTAAAATAAGTCCCCCGCTGGCTGCCATCTTGGATGATGGATCGGCTACAAAGTTACAACATTTTATCAGCACCTCATAAGGAACATTCATGCTATGTTTGGTTTCATTCAATTCAGTGGTCCTCTATTAAAAGACATTTGTATGCATTTCGCATAGGATCCTATGTTTTACTAAGTCCCCCCGCTGGCGGCCACCTTGGATGATGGATCGGCTACACAGTAAGAACACTTAGTCAGCACCTCATAAGGAACATTCGTGCTATGTTTGGTTTCATTCTATTCAGTCGTTTTCTAAAAGAAGACATTTGTATGTATTTCTCATAGGTCCTGTGTTGAACTAAGTCCCCCGCTGGCGGCTATCTTGTATGATGGATCGGCTACAAAGTAACAACACTTGGTCAGCACCTCATAAGAAACATTCATGCCATGTTTGGTTCTATTCCATTCAGTGGTTCTCTAGAAGAAGTTCAAAATGTAAAAAGTTAACGACGACGACGACGACGTACGACAACGGACGCCAAGTGATGAGAATAGCTCACTTGGCTCGTCATGCCAGGTGAGCTAAAAAGTAGTTGATTAAAACAGATTTTGTTTGATATTCCTTATTCAATAAATTTTTCAAGATAGCTATTGATTTCTACAAAATTTAATAGGTTAATATTTTCTCATGGGATTTTTTTCATGTACATCGACAATTGATTTAAAATTCTTCAATGTAATAATATCGAGTGGTATGATACCCAAATATTAATTATTGGATATCTATCAAAGGCATAATGAGTTTTGTTGGGTCTTTACAATCAGATATCAGACTTTAGTCAAGTTATAGAGAGGATAATTGGAGCCCACAAATGAAATAAACAAAAAGCACAAGGGAATCGACATCATTGCAATATTTTAGAACTCTCTTCCACATTTAAATCGGGGACTGATTACATCATACTGTTTGTTGTTGTTACTTACATTTTCAAGAGTTGAGATTCTTTTATCAGTCTGACTTAATGTGTTTCCAATTTCTCTGAGCTCTGCATATACTCTTGAAAACTCTGCATCTGCTGATTTGCATATAACATCCGCATATTTCACTAATATTTGTATCTGCTGTCGGATTTCATCGACTAATTCAAGACCGATTGTTGAACCTTGGAAAAAACTTGTACCTAGTAATATATAACAGATATAGAATTGGCAATATATAGGACAGGACAGCAAACAGCAATAACCACCAAGACGGAAGTCCGTAAAAAAACCCAGTCCGAGATATCTCTGCATCTTGTAGTCAATGTGTAGGACTTTCTAGACCGAGGGAGGTTAGAGAGCAAAACAAACAGAAAACACGAAAATCGCCGATCCAAAGAGACAAACAACAGTGCACAAAAACTAGTAAAGACAGAGCAAAACAAACTCAACTCAAAACTAGGGATGATATCCGGTGCTGCGGAAAGATGAGCAGACGATGCTCCACATGAGGCACGCGTCATGCTATACATAACAGGGAATGCTTAATTTTATAACGCCTACGTAGTCTTTAAATTTACTTTCTGCTATGAAGATGATGTTCTCTCACTTACTGTTTACAAATGGCGAACTTAAGATTGAGGACAGCTGCAGTTTAGTCCGCCTCATTACTTGACTTACATCTAGAAATTGACAGTGCGGGTCGGTTGTAAACAAAACTTTACGACAAAAGCGATGATTTCAGCTTTCCAATTATGAACTTTCCATTTCAATGTAGCAACATTCTTGCGGCGCCTGCATAGGTAGTTTATATCTCCCAGTTGATACGATATTCTAGGTATGGTATTTTCTATCATGATTTCCAGGATAGAGGGTTGCTACGTACAGGGAAGCTATTTAACCAAGAGTTCAAAGTAGTAAAGTTGAAATTATCCCTTCGTTAATCTTATGGAATATTCGTTTCACAGATGATAGCGGATATGTTCCTAATGTCGTAACTAAAATTTCGCCCCTCCCCCTTTTTCGCGAATGGGACGTATGATTTACAGAAAAGGACTTATAACCGGGTTTATAGTAACATGAGAAACAAGGCGGGTGCCACATGTAAAGCACCAGAGATTACCCAATGGTTTGGTGGGGTTCGTGTTTCACAGTCTTCAGTTTTCTATGTTGTGTTTTGTTGTGGCAGTTGCTATCAAATAGTCCCTTTCTATGTACGTTGTCATTTGTTTTTGTAGCAGTTCAGAGTTCCTGTTGATCCGTTGTTTCTCTCCTCTAGTTGATGTGTTTCCCTCGGTTTTGATTTATGACCTGGATTTGTTTTGGCTTAAATGATTTATGACTATTGAACAGCTGTATACTACTGTTGCCTTTATTGTATACTATTAGTCTGTTGATGTTTTTCTGTTTTGGCGATGGCGTTGTCAGTTTATTTTCGAATCTTGAGTTTGAATGTCCCATTGGTTTATTTTGCATCTCCTTTAATATCTTGGACTTGATCCTTCTGGGGTTATTCGATTCCTTAACATTTTATTTGTTACTGTGATAGGTTTATAAGATTGGAAAATCGATACAAAGCTGAAGTCTTAATTCCTTTCCTAGCAATAACTATTCATACGCATATATCAAATAAATATTAGTATAAATGTATAATTGTAGAAGAGCGAAATTTTTAATCGGTATTTTTGCTTGATTTTATGATATTTTGTTCTAATGGGTTCAAAAATATTGATTGACGTTATTCTTCTTTTTCTTATTCTGCCTTTTTATGGTTAAAATGAATATTGTAAGTATTATTTGTTCGTTTACTCAATAAGCTATAGGTTACAAAAGTTGTTGTATTAAACATATTTCCATCTCGTTATCATGGTAATCATAGGATGATTAAACATATTTGGAAAGAAATGCTGACTTTTTTTTTAAATTGACAGATTCTTTTAATGAACATATGTAGCTCTTATTGTCTACAATTGATTGATTATAACAAATGTTATATCAAAAAATTATCATAGTTTTGATAAATTGTTATGATCAACTGTGTTACGTTGTACACATTTATGGAAGGTTTTGTACCTGGTTTATTATTATTTTTTTTAACGTAGCTACGTATAAAAATTGCTAAAATGTTCACATTTGAATTTTGCTTTTTGTGAGGTTTTAGTTATGTTACAATTGAATGTGTAGAGCGATAAATCATTATGACAAAGCCACTTTGAATAAACAGTGATCTTACTGTTTGTTTTTGTACTGCATGTCTATTTTTAACATTTTATCATATATGACTTAATTATTTATTAGAGAAATCTGACAAGCCTTAAGCTGGAAGTTATTTAATTTCAGTGTATATCTAATATTTATTTCTGAACTCTTGGTTTTTTTTTCTTGATATGTGTTTAATGAAGTTCAATATATTTGGATGTATAATTTTGAAATCAATATTTGATTATAATCAATTTAGAACATTACTTTTCTTTACAATTCATGAAAAAATGTGGAACAAGGCAATGACCAGTTAAGGTCAAGTTACAGTAAATGGGTTATGTCACATATTTTCGTAAAATTTTACATATGCCTTTGGCTCTTTTAACTGATAATCGAAAAAGCGATGCTTTTATCTTTTTCCCCCTTAGATATTACTGATAGAATTTTTCAAATTAGTGCCCATTTGTATAGAAAGCACACAAATTCGGCGAAAAACGTTCTTAAATGTGTCTTTAAATCATCAAATTTCCAACTTTACTCCATAGGTTTCTCTTAAAAAACTATATGTTGTTGATTCAACAATTTCTGTTTTAATGATGTAAAATAATAATAGGGTCACCGACTTCGTTTTTATGGTATACATCAAGCAAAGTGGTGTACTTGTTGTAAAAATACACAAATCGTCAAAATAATCGTAACGTAATCGCGTTGTAGACCCTAAATCGTCGATTTTTCACGTTTTTGACTACAGACAAGGTAACTGATTTGTAAATACACCAAAAAACGAAGTCGGTGACCATATGATTACTTTATATCATTCAAACGGAAATTTATGTACCAACAACATATAGTTTTTTAAGAAAAATCTATGGAGTAAAAATATAAACTTTTTTGATTTTAAGGTAAATTTGTGAACTCTTTTCGTCGACTTGATGTGCTTCCTATACACATGTTTATTATTTTGAAAGAATTCCAACAGTAATATTTTGGAAAATAAAAAAGAAATTGGATTATTTTTTGGACTTTCAGATAAAATTCAACGAGCACAAGTTATATGCACAATTTGACCGAAATCTGTGACCTAGTCCATTTACTGTCCCATAACCTTGAAATTGTTTCCTGTTTTATGTTACAATATGACACCTTTTTTAGTTACTATTCTAATATTAAATGTCGCTTTGTGGTTAATGTATAATACTGAAATCAGTATATCTTTTTTGTTTGTTTAATGTACATTTTGGCTTTATAACTATTTTGATATGAGCGTCACTGATGAGTCTTATGTAGACGAAACGCACGTCTGGCGTCCTAAATTATAATCCTGGTAACTTTGATAACTAATTATATCATTAGAAGATAATATAATAACACGCCTATTTTATGTTATTAAGAAATGTAAACAATGAATGATACGGAACATCGAGGAAAATTCAAAACGGAACAGTCAACATTTGGGTATAATCTTAATAACTATTAAACCAAACAAATATGTCAACAAATAAAAACAAAAAGGCAGGTAAACAAAGCACATAAGCAAATATAAAAGACAAGAATAGAAACATTTACCATAATACACAATGACGGGAAGTATAAATACCGACCCACAACTTATGGATATTACCAAAAATAAAATAAACATTAAAAGCAATAATTTATAAAAACAAAGAATAAAACACTACCACACGTCATAACGATGATAAACAACGTCAGTACCAAGAATTTATACTTCAAGACCATCTGGTATTGTTGATAAATATTCATCAACAAGGTATTGGTATCTTCAGACGAACTTTCTTTTTTAGTAAAAAACGTGACGTTCTTTGATATAACTCTGGTTCATCAACGTTTTGCTCAGACACTGGTGACATTTTATAAAGTCTGAATAGCAGCTTGCAAGATCTTGGATACAGAATGAGTTAAGAAATGTTTATTCCAAATGCAGGCGAAGTCGGTATACTGCTAACAAAATTGATAATTTCAAAATTAAAATCGTCTCGTTTGTCATAGAAGAGGGACGAAAGATACCAGAGGGACAGTCAAACTCATAGATCGAAAACAAACTGACAACGCCATGGCCAAAAATAAAAAGACAAACAGACAAATAATAGTACAGATGACACAACATAGAAAACTAAAGACTAAGCAACACGAACCCCACCAAAAACTGGGGGTGATCTAAGGTGCTCCGGAAGGGTAAGCAGATCCTGCTCCACATGTGGCACCCGTCGTGTTGCTTATGTTATTACAAATACGGTAAATCGTTTAATTCGGTAAGTTACATTCGTGAAAAGGGAAGGGTATTGTAATTACGACATAAGGAACATATCCGATATCATCTGTGAAACGGTTATTCCATAACGGTCAACCAACTCGTGATGGCGTCCGTAAAATTTACGAAGGGATGATTTCAACATCACCATTTGGAACTCTTGGCTTAATAGCTTCCTTGTGAGCAGCAATCCTCTATCAAGAAAATCATGATAGGAAACACAAGCCCGGGAATATCGTATCAATTGGGAGATATATACTCCGTACGAAGGCGCTGCTGGAATGTTGCTACATAGAAATGGAAAATTCACAATTGGGAAGCTGAAATCATCTCTTTTGTGGTAAAGTTTTGTTTTCAACCGACCCTCATTGTCAATTTCTAGATGTAAGTCAAGATATGAGGCAGACTTAACTGTATCTGTAGTATCTTTTATCTCTAGTTCGATGGGATAGATTCGTTCAACATAGTCACCAAATTTTGTATTATTTAGTGAGAGAACATCATCTATATAGCGGAACGTAGAGTTAAAGGATATTGCTAACTTCTTATCTTTCTTCCTAAGAAGTTCCTGTATGACGTTAGCCTCATAATAATAAAGAAACTAGTCGGCAAGAAGAGGGGCACAATTGGTTCCCATTGGAATTCCGACAGTCTGTTGAAAAACACGTCCTCCAAACGTAACAAATATGTTGTCAATCAAGAAATCAAGCATCTTGATAATGTCAGTTTCAGAGAATTTTTTGTTTGAATCAGAGTGATTCTTTACAAAGTAGGATTTATCCCTCCATAAGACAAGATACTTGTATCTACCTTCGCCATTCTTTTTAATGAAACAAAGTAATACCAACTCTTTCAATTTGTCTTTTAGTTTGGAATGGAGAATACTTGTGTAAAGTGTAGTAAAGTCAAATGTTTAAATACTATTGCAAGATGAGAGAGTCTTAGATTGTATGTACTCTAAAAGATCTTTGGAATTTTTTAGTATCCACATCTGATTCACGCCACCTCTAGAATAGGCAGTTTCACAATAACTTTGGAGCCCGGCTTTGATTGCTGATAAAATAGATGTTAATAATTTAGAAAGAGGTTTCGTGGAGCACTTGGAAGACCCAGCAATATACCGTTGTTTGTAAGGCCACTTATGTAGTTTAGGTATCCAATACAGTGATGGAAGATCCAGTTCTTCATCTTTGGTTGAAATTCCAAAGGAACATAGAACAGACCTATGATTATCCAGGATTTCCTCTTTGGTAAGTGTCGTGAGGATATATGTTGAGTTTCCAAGTGAATTGTCAATACCTAATTCATTTATCAAGAAGTTTATGTAATGATTTTTACACACAAAAACGATGTTGTTTGGGGCTTTATCTGCGGGGACAACAACATATTTGTCATGGAGGTAGGACAAGTGTTTTGCAACATTAGGGTCTTTAAAAATTGATGTAGCGTGGGTATTGATATGCCCATTTAGTTTCTTAATTCGGATTTGTATCAACGACCTCACAGCCTTAATCCATTCGGAAAGAGTATCTACGTCTTCTTTCTCGCGGTTAGCCCATTGCCTGGCATAATCGTCAACTGAATCCATCAGTATTTTGAAGTTGTATTTCCAATTGATGGATTTAGGCTCACGATATTTCGGACCTTTGGATAACAAATTTCGCAGGGAAGTGTTATTGACAATATTGAGGTCTCCGGTAATAACGTGGCCAGCCGGATTATATGTGAATTGGGAACTAGCACAGTTGCAATCAGGAGGTTTAGACTTGAAGTCGTCAATGTTGAGATCCTGCAAAACGTGTTTGTAATTGAAAATTTTAGTTGCAATTGGTTTGGTATAGGTATAAGAAATTATTGGTACAGACTGATCTTTAAAATAAGGAGGTATTTTTGACAGAACTAATTTATGATGAAGGATATTGCCTACGTTGACGCCATCGAGACCTTTGTTGGCAAAGGAAAGTTTAAGAAAAGATCTTTTCTCTTTTTCATAGATTGACCGCTTATTTCAAATTCCAGGTATAAGTATACAAATGGGGCAGGGGAAGCCGTTTTTTTTTTATTCATCTTTAATGTCTAGCTTTTGGGGAAATGTTTATATAAAGTTTATATTGTTAATAGAAAGAACATTATCATTATATATATATAATGTGAAATTAAATGATAAGGCTTCTTTGGTCTTCTTGTTTTTGACAGGTGTCTGAAGAAACTCAAACTCATAATAAAATAAGGAGAGTTCGGCAAAGAGAGGAACACAGTTCATTCCAAAGGAATGCCAAACATTTGTTAAAAAAGTCTACCTCCAGATTCAACAAATATATTGTTCAGTGGTTGTTCAGTGGTTGTTCAGTGGTTGTCGTTTGTTGATGTGGTTTCTAAATGTTGCTCGATTCTCGCTTTTATTCAGATTGGACCTTTGGTTTTCTCATTTGAATGGTTTTACAATAGTAATTTTTTGGGGCCCTCTTAACTAGCTGTTCGGTGAGACCAAATGTTCCGTGTTGAATACCGTACTTTGACCTATAATGGTTTACTTTTACAAATTATGAGTTGAATGGAGAGTTGTCTCATTGGCACACATACCACATCTTCTTATATATAATCAATAAGAAACTTCAGCATACTGATTTCATGTTTCCCTGTGTAGCATGTTTAACCATTGTTGTAAGATATAGACCTTTTTCAATAACTAGAACAATACAATTTTGATCTAACTTTGACTACATAATGGACCTTATACTAACAGAGGTGCGCCTTTTTTAAACAGACACCCCTAGTCTTTCGGACATACAAATTTTCAGCATCGTTTTCAAACAAACTTTACTCATTGATTAAAGTACAAAAAATGTGCTTAAAATACCAAATCCAGAAATTTGATTTCCTGATATCTGGGCCCGAGTCAGAAAATCAATGATAAAGTTTCTGGGAAAGTTGATTTAAAAAAATAAATAAAATAAGAGTTAGGAAAATAAGCAAGAACAATGATAAAATCAAAAAATAAGCGTATAGTTAAATACCATTTGTCTTCCATTTGTTTAGTTCGGCGATGAATTGACTCTCTTCAGCTGCATTTAAGTTAAGAAGATAGATTAAATCTTCAATCTGTTGTAGTGACGAATTGTACTTCATTGAATCCCACTCTATAAAATTACAATGAGCCCAGGGATTTCGTACAGCTGCCCTAACCTAAAGTATATATTGATAATAATTTGACCTCCTATACATTTTTAAGAATATCATTGGTATAAAAGCAACATGACGTTGAAAAAAAAACTGAAACGTTTCTCACAAACAACAGATGACGAAACTGACGCTAAAAGACTGAAAGCAAATGCAGTAAACATCAAAGCTAACAATTTGTAATTTTCTGTACAGACCAAACGAAGAAGTTCCTTTCATTGAAGACTTGATCGCTTTGATATGCCACATGCTAAGACAATTGCTAAGATAAATGTGTCACGCAGTGTGCTAGAGGCGTAATACGATAATAAGGGTCAATGATTTCGATATGGGGTTTGAGCTTTGTTCTCACCAAATAAAGAGTTTATTGGTTTCATTTATATTGTATTACGTCAGTAGCAATCGGTGTAACAAATAATACATGTTATAGATAATGAATATTTTAAGGTTTTTCTTGTCGTAGAACACACCGAGGGGTGTCAGGATTGATCAAATGAAAGACCGACCGTAGGGTTGATTCTTCGAAAGGTATATAATGTCTTATAAAGGTAAGATAGTTAATGATATGTTAAAATGCATATGTACAATATGAAGAAACAGGATAAACATTCGGCTTGATAACTGAGCTTTTATATGCAATCATATAGACAACTTGTAAGGATATACATGTAAAGACAAAATTGTGCACTGATGAGATTCTTGGTTTAGATTGGCATACTCAAATGTAGCAGATAAAAACTTGTGTGAACAAAGTTGCAAAAACATTAAACAGAAATCATTCAAAAACTATTCACATAGTTATCACTTTTCTCGGTTATTATATAGGCTCAATGTAAGACATCGAATGTTCGTGTGCTTATTGATGTGTATTAGAAACAAAATAACATAAATTGAAATTAACGAGTTCTTTATGTCATTTTAAAAGGGACTGTATTGCATAAATATTGATTAATATTGCTCCTTTGATATATTTTTCAAACAAGACAAATGTCAAGATCTATTAATAGAGGTCGGTCATTTAAAGACGTATCAACCGTATCATAAATACGTTGACGTATACGCATCTGCAGATACACCAAAAACAGTATGTAATCCAGAGCTTTAATTGTATATACTTTTAAAAATGCAGATGGGCAACTGATCTAATGTTAGCAACCTAGTTTTTAGAAAACGTCTTGAATGTGTTTGCTTCAATTTCACATGATTTAAATGTTGTTTACCTCATTGGAAGATGGATATGAAACGCATGCACTTACGATGTGTATACATGTACACACAGCACTACAAACCAGTAAAAGTCTGAAATGGCCTATATTTGTACTCGACTGAACTGATTTTTACTCGACCAGTCTGAATTGGTCTGAAATTTACTTGATATTACTCGACTGTAGTCTGAACCATACTAAACAGTCTGAACTTGTACTCGACCTTTACTCGACCAGTACTTAACCATTTTATACGAGTCTGAACCATACTCGACATAGTCTTAACCAATCTCGACCAAGTCTGAACCATGCTCGACCTAGTCTGAACCATACTCGACCTAGTCTGAACCATACTCGACCAAGTCTTAACCAACCTAGACCTATTTTTTGTATCTATCTATATTATTTTTTCATTAATTTAGGAACTGTTATTCATATATATATATATATAAAATGTATATCACATTTAAAATTAAAATAAAACAAGGTGATCAAATTTCTGGTTGGATTAAAAAAATATCATGTAATAAATTAAGTTCGTTAAATAAATTTTCATATACATGATATCATGTTCACATTGATTTATGCATCAAAAATACTATAACTTTCAACCATTATTCAAATATCTTAATGTTATTCAAATTTTTTTTTATCAAAATATATATAAAATAGTATATAAAGCAACTTAATAAATGTTAGAATCGACACCTTTGTTTTGTAAAATCAAAAATTTAATATAATAATAATAATAAAACTTTCATCTTTTTTTCCTTGATAACCTTTTAAAAAAGGAAATGTATTCCAAAGTTGCAGTAGAAATTTATTTTAATTAAATTTAAATACGTTTTGTCAAAATTAAAGACATGGCATACAAGAAGCAGTTTAATAAGGTTTAATGGTTTAATTACCTCAGTACAGGTGTTTTACAGGTAAAAAGAAAACCATATTTTTCTTAAACTCGTGTATTACTTATCTAGTGAATTCAAAGGCCTTGTTATTTAAGTTTTACAGGATGTTGTAATTTTCAATGGATGTTATTTAAAATTTATTACTCTCTGACCAGGTGTGATCTTTTTAATCAGTGTGCGTCAAGCAGGATGTATTACTTTACAGTTTACCCCTAATCAGAAGAAAAATTTTATTCATTTCTTGAATTTTTCATCCCTTTTAAAATATATATATATATCCCAAATTATGAATAGAAATAGATATATTTCTGATATAAGGTTAAACAATGTCAGTGATTTATTTTGGCTGTTGTTACCTCATTAAAAAGATAGTTATATAACTATTGTATATAACCATGAAACCTAAGTACAGAGAGTCACAGGACAAAAAGTCACAGGACAGAAAGTCACAAATTTGATAGGACAAAAAGTCACAAATAATTTGTATACAATTGATTGAATATTTATGAGAAAGATCTTGAAATGTTTACATTTTATGACACATATTCATTTTACAGTTTAGGAAATTGTTCATAAGACTTAATTTGATAAATAAAGATTTATAAAATTTTAATCATGCAAAGGATATATTTCTTGGCACCATGAAGCCATTTAAGTACCAAGACATTGTAACATTTTGTTTTCTTAACAATTATTTGATCATTATTGATATTGTTTCAAGAAAAATACAAAAATGTTTCTTTAAAAATAAGTGTTCTATTGTTCAAAGAAAAATAACCTCAAAACTGAATTGTGACTTTTTGTCCTGTGACTTTCTGTCCTACATTCGTTTTTATTTAGGAATTTAGAAAAATCAAGTTTTGTTTAAAAAAAAAACACATGCCAAACAAAAAGCACCTTATTTTTAATAAGATTTTATTACCCTCAGTATAGGTGTGGTTTTCAGGTAAAAAAAGTCTTTTATTTAACAAGACTCAGACTTTAAAATTAGATAATTTAACTATCTCGATTTGCCAAATCTAAGAGAATCATGTATTATAAAAGAATGTGAAAAATGTTTTTATATATATCTTTATTTAATTGTGGCTGTTGTCATGTAAGTTAAAGAGAAAGTTATTTAAACAATCAACATTATAAAGAAGAGGTTATGTGGTCAAGTATGGTTCAGACTGGTCGAGTATTGTTCAGACCTTTGGTCGAGTATGGTTCAGACTGAAAAAATAGGTCGAGAGCTGGTCGAGTACTGGTCCAGACTGGGTTAAGACTGTTTCAGACTGGTCGAGTAATAGTTTAGACTATTTTCAATAGCAAAGATAAGGGTCAAGTACAAATCAGTACAGTCGAGTATGGTTAAGACTGGGTCGAGTAATATTAAGTAAAATTCAGACCAATTCAGACTGGTCGAGTAAAAATCAGTACAGTCGAGTACAGATATAGGCCATTTCAGACTTTTACTGGTTTGTAGTGCAGGTGGTAGGTATTGCTTTACAATGGGTATAGCATTATTAACAGACATAATTTCAAAGATATATTAAACATGTTTGTTGACTATAAATCAGGCATCTTTTGTCAGGATAAGGACAGTGTTAAATCTAGTCATGTGATAACTCGTCAACTTCCCAAGAAGATCTATAAAATTTTGTTTCAATGTGCAGAATATTCATGATGCGGAATGTATGCAATTCATCTTTACGGGCTTTAGAAACAGGGCAAATATGGCTTATCTGGTTTTCTTTCGTTTCGTTGTACAAATATTTGTTTTCCCGAAAAATATCCATGCATTAATTTTTTTCTGAATTATATCCCTTTCGGGTAACACAAGCTTAATATACGTAAAGTTCATGCACCTGAACTGATTTCATACTCGCGTGCATGATATTTTTTTCACGTGAAATTCACTTGAAAACAATATGAAATATCGATTTTTGTGGAACATGTAATCCGACTTTTAATACTGAAAGGTTAGTACATTTAACAGGCATGGTAGGAGTGAATACGGTAAAATCGTTTGTTTATGTGCTAACTTGTTCGCTCGTAGAACCTAATTGTTGTTTGACAAATAGAGCGATGCTCAGTAGGTTTTTTTCCTCCAAAATTAATGTATTTATTTTACATATGAAAACACTTTATATCTCTATTACAAATTTTTGGAAAAATTGCAAATAAACAATATTCAAAGCTCTTACATGTACATTTGATTTTATTGTGTTTATTCAGGTAAGATCTTGCAATATTTTTACGTGTTTTATAAAAGCATTTTGTACGAAATTCGTGTCACTGCCCCACATTCCCTCCTTTTTGAGAGCGTGCAGGAGTAGTTGATAGACGTCCTTTTTTGCAAAACACCATCTTCGCAAATATTGAAAGTTTGCGTTTGATTGTTTTGAATAAGATCCAATTAATAGATAAAAACAATTAAAAAAAATTGAGCCACAACGTAAAATAGTCTTAAGCTCGGGATCACATAATATTTTTTAGTATATATGCATATGCGTATACGTCAACGTATATGATACGGTTGATACGTTTTGAAATGACCGACCTCTATTTAAAAAGTTACTGAAAACTGTTTTAAATATTAACTATGCCGAAATTGGAAATTAAGTTTGAAGACATAGTGGACAATATGCCATCGATCTTGGCTTTCATTTTTTGCATAGGAAAAATGAACCAATTAATATCCTTATTAATTATACTGGCTGTCAACTTTTTACCAAATCGTAAACAAATCTAAAACACCCCATAAAACACGAGAACGCAAAACGGGCGTATCAAATACATAAGCAGCTGTAAAGTGAGGATCACCGTTACCAAGTGACAACATTAAATTGCCGACTGCAGAGTTTGTTATATCTTGGTGATAAAATGTAAAAAAGCAGCTGCATCGACACAGCTAGTCATTGATAAATCACGCATTAGAATAAACAAAATGTTAGTTGAAAATTTCAAACATTGAATATAGATTTATGTATATTCTTACATTCCTTGCAGCTATCTGCACGTTTCCAGGAAACTTGTCTATCCTGTCGATCATTCCAAGGAGAGCTGATGAATCACACGATCCATCAAATGCTGTGTAATGTGCCATGTGTGTCGGTAGGAATAACTTTGACAGATTTACAGCATTATGTACTTTGTAATCCCACAGAACTGAACGATAACCATGGGTTGCCTTGTTGTTATTGATAGCCTCATAATTGAGGTAGATATTCGCTGCGCCATATGTCCGTAAATGTGTTGTTTGTGTTTGTAAGTCGATCTGATAAGTTATCTTTAGCGAGCTGTAAAGGCTAGTAACAACGGGGTCCACATATTTTCTCAAAGCTGGCGATAATATACTGTGCAAACAAATTCCAACCACGAGCCATCTTTTCCTGTTGTCGTCCAAGTCATCTGGTGGACCTAATCAAATATTTGTTCGTTTTTTAATTATGTTTTAAATTAAGAATAAACGTACAGAAATTATGCATTTTATTTTTATATAAATTTGTAATTACTAGAGTTATTGCCTTTGTATCTATGATAATCGTACAGTATTGACGAGTTTAATATGTTTGTCTATTCTAAAAAGTAAAATCACAAAAATACCGAAAATAAACGACGAGGAAAATTCAAAACGGAAAGTCCCTAATCAAATGGCAAAATCAAACGCTCTAACATATCAAACGAATGGATATCATCTGTGATATTCCTGACTTGGTACAATAGTTTGCACTCTTTTTAGGCGTTCACAGATTTTACTGTTGATAAAAATATACTCAACAACAAAAGAAACACACTTCCATTAGTTTGTTTGGAGTACATTTTGTTTTATTACATATTACTTCTTTAAAGTGATTGAAAGGAATCAAAATTATGACACATCGTTTTTAAAGTTTAAAACACCAAAAAAATAGAATTGTCTTAATTTCAATTTTTGACATCTAAAAGAAAAAAAAAGATCTTGTCGATTTTCTGAAAACTAATGTCGTGTTTAGATGTTCACATGAAAATAAATATCTGGATTGACTTTGTATTTCAGTTTCTTAATCGAATTATTGTCTAATGACCAATTTAGAACTGACTAATCGCAGACTTTTGATTTGTTTTACTTTGAGGTTGGAATTGTCACTGTTTCCACTAAAATGGAAATTTCCCTGTAAATTCTGCATGAATGTGAAGGTTATGCTGGAAATATAATTTATAATATATCTCTACAAATCATTAGCAAAAACAAGAGTGTGCGTTATATGGGTTGTTAAGTATACATATGTATCGGTCGTCCCACTGACTATATTACTCTGCTCAGCTTTTAATAAAATTGCATATCACGGCTTTGTGACGTCAAAAACGTTGACCCGGCCTTAATAACTTTGACCCAGACATATCAGCGAGGTCATAAAAATTTGAACCGACGTTGGTTAGTTTGACCCGAACTTTTCTAGTCATCTTCCGGTTGCTGCTGAAACTAAGAAAACACTTCCAAAAGACGCAAATACTGGCCGATAAATCGATTATCTGGTTATCTTCATATTGATATTATAAAATATCAGCTGCTCGACACAATAAGAAGGCTTTTTGATCTCTTTCGCTGCGCTCACTTGACAAAAAGCTTCATATTCAACCTGATAATCGGTGTTCAACATAGCCTTTTTATTTAAGGAGAAGAACAAATGTTACTTCTTTATTGATGCAAAACGCTCTTTTTGCACTTCATTTGCCTGGGATGCTCAACACAAAGTCTGATGCAACAGAGTAATTGAGAAGACGGACCAACATCGACAATTGATTAGTTTTACGGTATCCATAAAAAATGTGTACGATATGTCTGTTTCTGAACTCAATCGCGACATTTGTTTTGCTGTCTCAGATCTTAAAACTTAAAATAACAGAAAGCCGTTTATACTTTAAATTGACCATGATTGTGTCCAATTCTCTAATGTGACATGTTTACTGAATATTGATTCACATGATTGGGATTCATTCTCATTCAGAGAAAGATATGCCAATACGCTTTCGATGCACCAAGTCTCTCTAACTTTTTAGAGTTCGTCGGATCCAATCAGTTTCTAAAGTCATATAAAACTTGAAATTTTAAAAATTAAGTTGAATATGTTTTATATACTTGAATGACTCTAAAAGGAGTTAACGTGAACCTTTCTTAAAAGAAATTCATCTATATTATCAACATCTTAATAAATCTACAGATATTGAATTATTGACCTCCCATACACTAATTCGCCGATACTTCCCGATATTCAGTGACCTTAACAGAGCGCTGTATCAACTGGTGTGAGGTGAGGATGATTACTCTCCCCTCTCTTATTTCTGATGGTTATAGATTGTGTGAGTAGAAAATCATACAACACTCCTCATGGTATTAAATGGACATTACAGTCATGCCTCGACAACCTTGACTTTGCAGACGATATCTGCCAGCTTTCCCATCGCCATGAAGACTCACAAAACCAAGCAACCAACCTTGAAACAACTGCAAAACAAGTAGGACTGTACATGAATGCAAATAAGACAAAATCTATGAGAACGCGAACCACCTTAACAAAACCAAAATGAAAGATGTCCGAGAATTTACATACTATGTTGGAAGTGTAATCAGTACATCAGGAGGGACAGATGAAGACATCCAGTCTAGAAAAAGAAAAGCACAACAAGCCTTAGCAATCCTTAAACCAGTCTGGAGGAGCAAAGTACTCAGCACAAACACCAAAACCAGGATCTTCAACTCCAATGTAAAGTCTATACTTCTCTATGGGTCAGAAACTTGGAGACTTAACAGCTGCGTCTCCCAAAACATTACAAGTTTTCATGAACAGGTGTCTTAGAAACATCATAGGAATCAAGTGGCCTAACACCATTAGCAACAAAGAACTATGGAAAAGGACTAAACAAGAACCAATAGAAAGAACAATTACGACACGTAGATGGAAATGGCTTGGACACCCGTTACGTAAAAACAACACAAATGTAACTAGACAGGCACTAGATTGGAATCCGCAGGGCCATCATAAAAGAGGACGACCAAAATCCACCTGGCGCAGAGATCTAACATCTGATCTACAGAAAATTGGTAAAACATGGGGAGAAGAAAAGACAATAGCTAAGGTCAGAAAAAGATGGAAAGCTACTGTGGTCGCCCTATGTCCCCCATGGGACGAAGTGGATAAAGTCAAGTAAGTTAACAGAGCGCAAGTGTGAGGGAAAAACCGCGATGAAAAATGTAAACAAACCTACTGTAAATTGTAATAACAGATTATATTAAAACAAATCAATGCAACAAATAATTGAACAACTGTAACGAAACGTTTAATTAACAAATTGAAACAATTGGGAAAATATAAAAAAAAAACATATGTCATGGCTCTTTCAATTCACGTATTTGTCACGTTTTGCACGTGCTCTGTTTTATTGTTGATTAAGGTCACTATCCGGTAAACGTCTGCAAAATACTCCAAATTCAATAAGCTTGCGACCAAAAATTCCTGAATGAAATATTATTTGTCAATAGTACGTTATATGTATATATATTTAATAACAGACATAGCAAGCCTCGATTTATCATCTATGCATGCATTGGTTCAATAATTTCGATAACATAACAATTTCAACAAAATCGTTTCATATGACTTTAATGTAGCCTATATTTGTCTTCTCAATTATTTGTGAAATTTGTACATCGGTAAACAACTGTTCCTTTGATTATTACTAAAATGACAATATTCATACCTGTATGTGACGAATATTCTAGTTCACTTATTCTTCTTTCTAAATCAAAAGGTATTGAACTCTGTATCGGTGTTGGTGCCTGATTAGCCATGTTTACCTACAAAACGAGCATTTTAAGTTTCTGATTTTTGCAGTTAAAAAAGATTTATCAACGTTCCTTTGTCTCTGTCACTATGCTTTTTTAATACAATAATTGACGTCAATAACGTTGATCCACCATAAAAAAAATTTGACGAGGATATATCACCGACATCATAATGATTGTACCAAGGTATCTTCCGGTTTTCTGGTGAAACATAGAAAACAATTGTTTCTAACATAACAATGCAAAAAAACACAAATATAACCCGATAAATAGATCATCTGGTTACAGGTATCTGCATCTTTATAATGTAAAGTATAAGCTGAACGACAAAATATGAAGCCTATTTGAACTCGTTCGCTGCGGTCACTCGACAATAAATTAAGATGAAAGAATAAAACTTATACCCGACTACTTTTTTTAAAATTTTATTTATAGATAATAAGTGGTGTTGTGCAATTTTTATATGTGAGCCCTTTTCTTCTTGAATGCCTCAATATGATTTTAAGATTTATAATACAACTAAGAATAAATTGCTTCGCCGCGCGCAGCTTTTGTGCAATACAATATGCTGTTGCAAATTGACACCCCCCCCCCCCCCCCCCGCCAACAATTTATTTTTGTAAATATTTGAAGACATTTTCTTTTTAATTTCTGAAATCTGAAATGAGAAAAATTGTTCAACCCCACATTTTCTTTTTACCCTCCCCCTTTTCTTTGAAAAAATATCTTTCCCTCAAGATATGATCATAATCTCAATTCAAATTTCCATTGGAGTTTACAACCATAATTACCCATTTAAATACATCATAAAAGACTTAGAATAGAAAAGAACATACATAATCATTGCTAAAATTAATATTCCTAAAATCAGCATTTGATAGCTACTTCTGAAAATAAATTGACAGCTAATCACCTCTAGACAGTGCAACATTTCTTTACACATAATTTAAAAACAGTGTAAGGGAGGTAATCCAAACATAACATTGTACTGAGATATTGTCCATAAACCAGGAACCACTTGTTTCCCCCTTTTTTGCCCCTAATTTTCGTAATGGGTTGAGCAATTACCCCCAAAGTCAATCCTAACTATCCCTTTGTGGTATGGCAACCTGTGGTATAATTTCAAAGAGATCCATACACCGTTCCATTTGTTTGTCCCTACTTCCTAAACTGTTAGGATTTGATTTTGATTTTTTGTGTTTTAACGCCACTTTTAAACACCGCTTATTGCGTGGCGGCCAGTTTTTATTGGTGAAGGAAGCTGGAGTGCCCGGAGAAAACCACCGACCTACGATAGGAAAACTGACAATCCTAGACAATTAAGATTGGAGTCGAGTGCATCGGCACGATCGGCGTTCGAACTCACAACCTCAGTGTTGACTGGCTAGTGATTATGTAAAGCAAAATTCTATCCGGATGAAATATGATCCGGCGGAAAAAATGTTACAGTAGTTTTTTTTTTATCTGGAGGAAATTATTTCACTATGATATATTTTCCATTGCCTTTAAATTCTATCTGAGAAGTTAAAAGTATAGAAAAGTTAATAAAAAAAAATTTAATTGTTGCGAATACTATGGAATAATAATAGTGTATCTGAATATAAGCTAAATTAGTAAATAAAAAACCAAATAAATGTATTATAATGGGAAATAATTTCACAGATTATAATTGAAAATAATATCCTGAAATATTAAAGTAAATATCATTCTTTTAAAAAGACAATTTTCATGAAACATATGAAACAAAACCAGAAGTAATTTCACAGATCTTAATTGTGAAATAATATCATGATCAATTTAATATATAAAATAAGGTAAATGAAACAGAGGTACAGGTAAAAGTGAGTGGTTTTCAGATCTCAGTACAAAAAAAGTAGAGGTAGAAATATAGTTGCATTACTACAGTAAACATTAATGTCCCCATTCAAATGCATTGATCGTCCAAAAAAGGGGGTCCAACCCCCGGAACCCTACCCCTGGATCCGCCACTGGATCTGCATACCTGAACGATGTGTTATCTGCAAAAAGTCTGCATAGAGAAAAAAGTGTTTCCGCAATATCATTAATGTAAATTATAAGAACAGAGATGTAGTTGTTATTAATGTGGAAACCAGATGAATCATAGCATAACAATATATAGGAACAAAAACAATTGTCAACAGCCGGATAGTATTTACCTGTGAAATAATTTCTGTCTTATGTTTTAAGTCATCTTTTTATAAAAAATAATATGTAAAATTAAGAATAAAGGAAAATTTCACTATGAAATAGATTCCGGAATATTATATCTTTAAAATATAAATGGCGCATAATTACCTCCCTTTGATTGATAAATTATGCAAATATTTTCTACCTTTGTGAACCATTTATAATTATGGTCAGGTATATATTGATTGCGAATACCTTACTGAAAAAGTAGACAATTGGACTCTATTTCACAAGGTTCTGTGAAATATGGAACGGAAAATGTATACTAGTAATGTAATGACAGAGGAAGAAATAAACCGTTACAATTACAGTAGTTACTACTTAGACCACTCGGCCACCAAGGCCCATAAACTGTTAGGACCATAACCCCCAAAATCAATCCCAACCTTCCTATTGTGTTTAAATTTCATAGATTTCTATTTACTTATACTAAAGTTATTGTCTAGAAACTAAATCTATTTGGACTACGCTGACAACGACGACATTGATGACGACGACGCTGAAGACTTCGACGACGACGATGTGATACAAATGTTTTTTGCGCTCGTATAAAAACAAAGAACACCGAACACCAAACGGCGCACAAACAAACGGCAGCGCACAAATATCTTCACATAAACCTCAACAATTCAGAGAGGCAAACCCCACCAATTGAATGCAATTTATACATTTTCTTATTAAACTTGTTGTTTGAATTTATGTGATTTTTTAAAGTAGGAATATGAGGTAGCAAATGTTTGCTAAATAAATGAATGATAAGAATGAATTAAAACACACAAATCCTCTAGCGTCTATTTAAATCCTGCATTACAAGGATATATATTTAGCAGGGAATTTCCAATAGATAAATACGTCACTCTATTTGACATAATTGTAAAGAAATCATTACCATAAAGAAATCACTTTAAAAATTATGTTTAACAGAAATGCTGTACTTTAACGACCGATTAATATATTTATATATCCATATTTTTCTGCTATGTATATATACTTTCAAGAAAGGATAAAGTGTTGAAATTTGTATGAAATGTGTCATTATTCTACAACCAAGCAAACAGGGCACACCCATACCAATATTTCTTGATAGGATCCGAAAATTATTTAATGCCTCTATAAATAAATGTTGGTGTGTTTATAGGCTGAAATTAAACCCAAGAAAGAGAAACCTGTAAACGTGCATGCGGTAGCAAATATTTGCCCTACTTAATAAATATATAAGCATGAATTCAAAATACACAAACCTGATTGCGTCCATTTAAATACTGCGTTCAAAGATATATTTTTAGAACGTGATTTTCCAATAAATAAATGCGTCACTGCTTTTGACACAATTTTTTAATAAAATCATTTTAAATAAAAGAATCGTTTGTAATTGAATTGCCGCTTGCTGTAACTGATCAATATTGCGGTATATTTTTATCTATTTATTAAGAGCATAGGGTACAGTAGCAAAGGCAGATAATAATTGTATTTAAGAATGCAAAATCTATTACGAGGGCATACAGTTCTAGGCAAATGAAGAATGTTTATTTTTCAATATATTCCTATATATGTATGAAAGTAATTTGTATATCGGTTTGGTGTACGGCGGCAATAGCTGCACAGATATGTTGCTTTAACACTCTAGTTTATTCCTTGCTTTAACGCGCCAAAAGCATCCAGACGGTTCAAAAGGCCTGAGATGAAGGGCGGGAAATTTAAGGGCTGAATAACCGTTTCACAGATGATATCGGATATATGTTCCTTATGTCGTAACTACAATACCCTTCCCTTTTCACGAATGTGACTTACCGAATTAGACTATTTACCGGATTTGTAATAACATAAGCAACACGACGGGTGCCACATGTGGAGCAGGATCTGCTTACCCTTTCGGAGCACCTGAGATCACCCCCAGTTTTTGGTGGGGTTCGTGTTGCTTAGTCTTTAGTTTTCTATGTTGTGTCATCTGTACTATTATTTGTCTGTTTGTCTTTTTATTTTTGGCCATGACGTTGTCAGTTTGTTTTCGATCTATGAGTTTGACTGTTCCTCTGGTATCTTTCGTCCCTCTTTTTAGATTAGACTTGGAAAAGATAATATCTATACTATTAAATATGGAGACCAATATGTTTTAGCCGGCTTGTCTATGAACCGATGATCGTCTAAAGTATTATATAATAATAAATAGTTAGTGTACGTAATGTACTTTATAAATTCATATAGTAGTTGATTTAATTAGTGTAACTTAATAAAGTTAACCCAAAATAAAGTTCCGTAGCTGGTTCCTCACCCTCTACGTTTTTGCAGAAATGGTTTTGTATTCAATTTGTCTTGGATTTATAACAACTAGGTCACAGCTTGCTCGCCCCTTCTTCTCTTAAGTTATTTCTTCCGTTCTAGGAGCACCTGTGTAACACCAAGATAGAAGATTCTAATTGGACAATAAACCTCAGAAGAACTGACAAAATAATCAAAACTATCACCATAATGCACCCGTGCATAAAACAGTTTGAGAGTTTGAGAAACACGAACCCAAGCTACGTATCACCATAAACATTCAAAGAAGTCTTCAAGCCGCGCTCGCGCGTTTTTGTTGTTGTTTGCTTTAGTGTTTTAGAACTTAGGACATCGTTCCTTCTACAGGTTTAACATTCCTTTTCCAATAAATGGAATAGATATAGTATCCAGATCGTCAAGATTGTTTACAAATAAAGATAAAAAAAGCATAACAAAACAATAAAAAATATAATATGAAAAGGATGCCATGTTTTATTGATTTTCTTCTTATTTTTAATTCATCTTCAAAAAAGTCTCTTATTTGA